TTACATAATAATGCTGAGGGAGCTTAAGAATGTAACAACAATGTTTAATTATATTATGCACAGAGTCCAAATTCAATTTACTTGAATTATGTCTGCATATTTGGACTTTTTATTAATAATGGGTATCTATTAGACGTATATAGGTTTCTTGATAATTTTTTGCGTTGCGTTCTGTCTGACTGTCTCTCAAACCTGTTACACACTTGATTTGAGTTTATCAACATTCCCAGTCTCAGTTTCAGTCTCAGTCTCAGAGTCAGTCTCAGTCCCAGTTCCATTCCCGTTCCCAGTCCCATTCACAGTTCCAGTACCTCATGCAGTCACTTAATTTGATACGCATACATGTATATATACATCGGCCCTATGCGACAATTGGCGCATAACAATGCCATCAACGTTACAACCGATGGGGCTGTCGAAGGGTTCGTGCCTTGATTGACATCAGTTTCAACCAGTTGGCGCCGCATTTTGCAGCATGTGGAGATCTCTCTTGGGCTGGCAACGACCGGCTGACGGAAGGCTCCGCGGATGCTATGGGAATTGATTTCTGCTTAAGCCCAACTGAATTAGTCATCGCGCCCGAAAACGAACAACAACAACAGAATTGAGTCACAAATTGGMTGGCACGTTCGCTGCATTGACCGGAGGCTGTCCGTGTCTGAGTCTTCGCATACGAATGTACTCATACATATTCCAAATACATTCACACATCTTGCAATAACATACGTATATTCACGCTGGCATTCGTGAGCGTATTCATCTAGATTCGCCTTGTCTTTAATTGATATTGAGCATGCACGATTAATAGCGCAGTCTCAGTTTGATTGAGTTCACTTAACAGCAGCTTCAGTTCCCAGTTGCCGGTTCTCATTTGTCTGTTCCAGTTCCAGTTTGCTATTTCCCCATTTTACCCTACGTCAATGCCATGCCTTAATTTTATCTAGGAAGTGCACTCGTAATTGATGAATTCCCAATGACTAATTGCAACAGTTTGCAGTTCTAGTTCCAATTAAAGTTCCAATTCTAGTTCTAGTTCATTATTTCACTCGGAAATGTTGATGCATAATGTCGCACTTACAATTCATATGAATATTTAACTTAATTTCTGTATATGCAGCAGTTTACTATCTTTACCAAAAGAACTAGTTCTTTTGGCACATATTGTATCATCTTATTGTAATATAACAATTTTAATTCAAATCAAGAATTTACATAATTCATATTTCTATAGCTCCGATTCGGCACTCTTGCCAAAAAAGAACTAGTTCATTTGTTATATCAAATATATACACTCTTGTGTACATTTTATCACAGTCTAGCCCCAATTATCCACCAAATATTCCACGAATCAACATTTTCAAAATCACAATTCAATTGAAAGCGCTTATCAAGTACTTAGATCGGATTAGTTCCAAGTTCCAACTCCAGTTTACTCTTTACCAATGCCAAACATGATGACGCACTTTGATACTCGTGACGTTTGTGCGTCAGTGTGCACCCAAATGAGAATAATAACGCTTTGCTTTATAAGTGGATTTGGGGCTATTATCACCTTGTGAACATTAAATGACAGATCGTAAAACATCAGATAGACAATTCTTCTCGCTTCTTCATCTTCTGCCCGCTACTAGCATGGACCGTGATGTGCAAAACAACATCAATAAAGAGCTTAAGCGAGATATGCTGTAAGTCCCCCAGCTGGGGATATCCAAGATATGAATATGCTCAAGATCAGTAAACGATCAATTCGATGATCGATTCATCGAACAAATGGGGGCTCAAGGTATCGCTGCCTACTTTTCAGCTGACTGCGCAAGTAGTCGTTGCACGTGGCTTGCCGAACTCTCATTTAAATGCGTATGCGTTGAGGAGATTTGCTTTAACTTTTATGCCAGCCAGCCATCGTCTGGACCATAACTCATCAGTGGCACAAGCCACAAAACAACATCAACAAAATATAAGCCGCAGCGTCATAAAACATATACGATCACAATTGTGTATATTGGACTGACGTCAGCCCTCAAGCTGGGGCCCCCATATAAAGTATACTACCGAGTATGTACAAGAATCTCGCAATATCTTGATCTATGCAAATATTGTACAACTTGTTAAGATCCAAAAAGGCGGAGATACCTCGAAAGTAATTCGGAAAATTTTGGTTGTCTCTGCTGCTGTTGCTGCTCCGAGTCTGTTGTTTATTCAAGGTCAGCCGGCAGCGGGAGAGGGAAGTTGCGGAATTGGGGTGTAATGGGTGTCAGTCAAAGGACACACCACATACAATAGAATGCCCCGGTCACGAGGGTTGAGGTTGAGGTTGACAGCCACTGTCAGCTGCTCGACATTACCGGGAAATGTTTGCCCTGGCGTTGACAGCTGACAGTGGATAAACATAAACAGCTCTCTGCTATTCCGAATCTTTCTTCTTCTCTTGCTCGCCCACCCCCGCCCCGTCATTATTTATGGCACTGAACTTGAGTAAAATTCGTACACATTGCTTTTGTTTTCGGCACAGCAACTGCCCGCTGGGACTGCAATGGCAATTAATGAGTTCGAATAAGCTATGCACTTACGAAATTACATCTACTGAACTGCTGTGGGCCTATAAATATATACTTGGAATTTCAGAGTTAGAATTTAATAGGAGTTGTTCCTCGGCTCGAGCTACTTCGAAATGCTTTGAGATCAAATAACTTGTGGATTTCCGAAATCACTTCGGTGCTTAATTAGAATCTCTTGTATATGTTAAGACTGCCAACTAGAAAATAACTACTAATCTAAATTACTCCGAAACTCCTTTTAGGATTGTTAAGACTACGTAATACTACATATTACTCGATTCAGACTAATTCAAAGCACCCTGAGAAGTTATAGTGAATAAATTGTGCGATTCCGAAATTACTTAGTAGCTAATCCGCTATTGACTTGCATATTCGGAATATGAAAATTTTGCTTTATTAGGAAATTTCGATTTTTTTCCAATACTTCCAACTTCAAAGTGGAACCTCTACTGTAGGGCTGTTATATTAAATCTTATTTGAATTGGACTACTCCGAAATGCTCTACGATCCATTTCTCAATAGACAGCCGAGAGTCTTTGCATAGGAATACTTTAAGTCTTTCGTATATTTACAAAACACATTTAATATGTATATATAACGATCAATAGAAAATAAATTTGAATTATACAATATTTATCAAGAGTTAATTTAGATTTTGTCTCCAAATCAAGCAGTCTCCATTAATAGAGCTGCCAGACATACATATGTATGTCTCACTAGCTGAGCCCAAATTCAAATTACAATTTGTCAACAAAATTCTTTACTATTTTGAAAGTAAATTTGTTTTCATATCGATTCAATTTGGAAGCACTTCACACATATATTTACTTCCAGCATTCAGTTAGTTATGTGAGACACTTCTTGTTGTCTCTGTGCTGTCGCCAAAATGAAAAACATGCTGAGCATTCATATTCATATTGAACTTGGAATGCTCAATTCCAATTCCATTTTAAGAAGGCACACACACACACATGCTGAAATTTATGGAAACTTTTGGAATGAAAAAAAAAAAAAAAAAAAAAAAAAAAAAAAAAAAAAAGAGGAAAATTTATGAAACAAGACAATTACGCAGATCTTTGCCGCCATAGGCCGCTTGACTTGGTCATGAACAGCGATCAGCACGCAAATATCGTCCGATGCAGGAACGCAAAAACAACAAAAACAAAGCGCACACACGGACACACTAGACTACAGCTGATGTATGCCATGGAATAGGAATATA